GTTCACCACTGATGAGCCAGGCCCTCCCTTTAATTTTTCCATCGCAGTAAGGACAGTATAAATTATTTTATTTTAAAAAGAATATTACGCCTCTAAAATAGGCTAAATCAATGTTTAGTTGATTTCTGTTTCACCAGATGGCGCTCTGCCTTCTGTAAAGCACATGTGCTCCTGGTCAGGATATGCCATTTTTAATATTGATTTCAACACCTGATCTTTTTATCTTTTTTTTTTTTCGTTTTCTCATTTATAAATATATAATATGCTTCGAGCAATCGCTTTTCCGCAAATAACCAATTGTATCTTTTATTTTAGCAATTATATTATGATGCATTAGCGCGCCATCTGTTATCATACATAATTTCCATTGTAGTAAGGGCAGTATAAATTGTTTATTTTTAAAAAGAATCATACGCGTCTATAATAGTTTCGAATTTTGATAACAGATGGCGCGCTAATGCATCATAAAGAAAATACAATGTTGGGAAAATTGAAGAGAAGACGACCTCCAATGAGCTGGTTAGAAGGGATCAAGAAAACTAGCAAAGGTCACTAGATGAGCTGAGTGATGGTCACTAACAGATCAAATTGGATAATTTTTGTCCATATAGTCATGTATTGACAGATATGGAATGAGACATACATCCTTTTTATTATTAAATTGATAAGTGGGGGTCGATGGAAGGATGGTCTAAAATATTGGTTTTTGACCGCTACAACCCAGATTCGAATCCCGCATTGGGCACTTTTTTCTAATTAAAAAAATATATGTGAAAAAATAATAGAAAAAAAAAATAAAAGGTCAGGTGTTGGTATTAAAAATAAAGAAGGCATATCCTGATCAGGAGCACATATGCTTTTTAGATGACAGAGCGCCATCTAGTGGAACAGAAATCAACTAAACATTGATTTAGCTTGTTCCCTGATATTTGGCCAACCCATTTTCTCATTCAATTTTAGGGAACAGGCTGAATCAATGTTTAGTTGATTTCTGTTCCAATAGATGGCGCTCTGCTATCTAAAAAGCTCATGTGCTCCTGATCAGAATATACTTTTTTTATTTAGAAAAAAAAAAATATATATACGTATATGTCATAATATATGCTCTTCCAGGAATAATAAAGTAAATCTACAGTCGACCAGAGAGAGAGAGAGACTTAGAGAGAGAACGCAGCTAAGTTACGGCCATATTGAACCACTGGCCACATGCCCGAGGGGGCTTTTCTTGGAACCCTCAGACCTATTTTTGGACAGTCGGGGGGTGGTGGCGACACGAACGGTCGTTCAGCGGTGACATCCCCTCGCGCTACCTCTCTCTCGCTTGTTGCCTGAAATTCCTCTACCTATTTGTGGCGTGATTATTTCCCTTTCCCCACCACAATATTATCACTATATTGCCACATTGAAAGTCGACAGGATCATCACAGAAGAGTCGACAGGATCATATCACATAAAGAGTCGACAGGATCATATCAAATAGATTTGAAGACAGGGTCCATGTGGCGAACGTGTGGCGCGAGAAGAAGAAGCGAACTGTGCCGCTCGATGCAGATTGTTCAAGTGAGAACAAAAGGGAGTTGATAAATATCTAGCAGTTAGTCAATCTGCATCCTGTGACGAACACACCATTGGCTAGATGGTGTGGGTCGGTGGATATGCTAGAGATGAACTACGAAATATATTATCATAAATGAAGGGCGAAGATTAGGATTTTGAAATGACAATATAGAAGTTCGATAATTGATTAATCAATAATTCTCTATAAAAGGTCCTGAGCTGGTAGAAGGTTAACAAAGTTGTAAGAATGAGAGGGGCATTCAGGGGAGAATAGATAAGAGTCACCAAGGGTTGGTTGTAAGCAAGGCTCACGTGGTGGTTGGAATTCTTCGACGCCTGAATTACAGGGTGAATTTTGAGTCGTTTAGGGAAAGGAATTATTTTTCGTGAGCCGTGCTTACAAGTAGGAGAGGTCATATACAAATAGGTATACAAAAGTTTAGGTGCTGGAGGCATATTTTTATAGATAAATCGATTATGAAAAATCTATTGTTAATAGTAAAAATCGTAAAGCATTAATAGGTAGAATTCCCTTTTTTTTAAGTTACGTTAAAATGGAGATTATTTAATTAAAATGACGATTGTTAAATTCTACTGGTAAGGTAACTAATTAAATGAGTTACAAATAACTAGATAAATAATATGGAGAATAAAATCATTGTTAATAGGCGTGGAGAGAATAAATGGAGCTAATTATGTAAATATTGGGACAATTTACAAGGAATGACTTATTTAAAGAATGAATGGTAGGAGTTAAAACAATTACACTCACGAGTTATGTTGGTTTAGGGCGCAGGTAAGTTCATTGAGCTTCGGGAGAGTTCTGTCTGTGACACTGTGCGTACCAGTGTTGTACATCACAGTAGCGGCAGGGATATGGCGGAGTCTTGTCCATGATGGAGGAAGGTGTCTTGCCCTGGCACGGTGGTCGTTCTTGGGCAGATCTAGTGCTGGAAGAAGTGCGTGGCAGCTCCATCTCCGTCGTAGGTGAATACTTCTTCGGGATCACGGTTCAAAGGTTGGCGAAGAAGGGGTTGAGGGCTCGAAGAGGAGTGGTTACAGTTGAGTTGGGTTTGGCCGATCATCGTGGCTTGGCTTCTTGTTTCTTCATACTCCGGTATATGAGGGATTTGCTTCCCGGCCAGGTCTTATCCTGTCGACTCTTTATGTGATATGATCCTGTCGACTCTTTATGTGATATGATCCTGTCAACTCTTCTGTGATGATCCTGTCGACTTTCAATGTGGCAATATAGTGATAATAATGTGGTGGGGAAAGGGAAATAATCACGCCACAAATAGGTAGAGGAATTTCAGGCAACAGGCGAGAGAGAGGTAGCGCGAGGGGATGTCACCGCTGAACGACCGTTCGTGTCGCCACCACCCCCCCGACTGTCTAAAAATAGGTCTGAGGGTTCCAAGAAAAGCCCCCTCCGGCATGTGGCCAGTGGTTCAATATGGCCGTAACTTAGCTGCGTTCTCTCTCTACGTCTCTCTCTCTCTGGTCGACTGTAGATTTACTTTATTATTCCTGGAAGAGCATATATTATGACATATATATATATATATACTCCAATGGGACCCCCAATTCTTGCAAAAGTCCAACCCCACCAGCGAGTACAAGTAACCAAACAGGGCTCTGGCATATTTGTAAGTGCAAAAGTTGAACTGATTTTCACATGTGTAGACATGGGGTGCGCTTACAGTAAAAGCAGTCGCTAACTACCCAGCATGATTATCATGGCCTGTACCTGTATATGTGTAGAAATAAAGTTATAATATTTAAACTTTATAAATTATTTATTTTTACAAATTGATTCTCTCTCCCAATATTTTTTTTTATTTTTGTTGACTTTGCTTAGAATTATTAATGAAACTGATTCCAAGAATATTAATTAAACATTATATTTATTGATTTACAAGAGAGAGAACAAAATATAAAAGGGAAACTAATATTGAAACAAAGGAACTTATTTCTGTTTCGGGTAGCGCCTATTTACCTGTTAGCTTTCACACACTCTGTGGTAACAATTAATTAATATATATACAACAATTTTTTGCTTATCCCTAGAACACGTGGTACAGGCCATGATAATCATGGTGGGTAGTTAGCGACTGCTTTTACTGTAAGCGCACCACATGTCTACACACGTGAAAAGCAGTTCAACTTTGCACTTACAAATGTGCCAGAGCCCCGTTTGGTTACTTGCACTCGCTGGTGGGGTTGGACTTTTGCGGGGGCCATTGGAGCATTTTTTTTTTAAAACAGAAAAAAGTGTCCAATACGGGAATCGAACCCGGGTCCTAGTGGTCGAAAACCAAACGGTTTAACCAGCCTTCCACCGACCCCACCAATAATAATATTTTTTATAAATAATCTTATTGAGATCTTATAAAAAGGTAAATACTACCTTACAATAAATTAATTATTTTCAAATATGAACATCATTTATTTCCATGACAAAATAGTCATCAAAATTCAACTTGATGGACACCAACACAACAACAAACATGGAACTTGAACAAAATTATTTATTTTCTACTACCCTTAAAATGGATTTATTTTTATTCCTAGTACACGTGTTACAGGCCATGATAATCATGGTGGGTAGTTTTTTTTATTTATTTAAAGCGCTATGTCCCCCTAGGGACACTTGCGCTGTCATACATGTATGCCTTTACATTTGTCTAAACATATATATACAATTAAACCTGTCTATAGCGCTCCCTCTAAATAGCATCTTCCTCTCTATAGCGCCCAATTTTAAACATTAAAATGTAAACATTTTACATTAAAAGTGACCTGTCTATAGCACCCTATTTTAGTGAGTCCCAAGAGGGGACGCTATAGACAGGCCTAACTGTATATATATATAGATGGAAATTTTGCCGGGGGAGGATATTCATCTATAAAAGTCACCTCTCCCGTCAAAATAGATGGTCAATAGATGGCGTCTAGTTTTGAAGTATATTTTGATGGGAGAGAGAGGTGACGTATATACACACACTCATGGATAAAACTTAAGGAAGAAAGAAGACTTTGATGTCACCTGTCATCTATTTTTTTAAGGAGACAGAGGCTGTTCACGCTTGGTTATCTCGAGTGTCTTCAATAAAGGTTGTAGGCCGTGAATAGAATAGTCATAACAATAAGAAAGAGAGAGGTGGGTAGTAGTTAGTGACTTCTTTTACTGTAAGTATACCACATGTATGAAGCAGTTGGACTTTTGCTCTTATAAATGTGCCAGAGCCTCGTTTTGCCGGGCATTTTGTTTATACACAGATAACATTCCTGACCTTCTTTTATGAAAAACCAATATTCTGGGAAAATTCAAGTTAAACCACCTAGAGAGGACACAAGGTAATAAAACCAAATCCAAATAAATAAATAGTGTGTGACGTTTCAGTAACAGTATTGTTACCATCTTCAGACAAAAGTGGCCTATGGCCATACCACATTGAAAACACGGATTCTCGTTCGATCACCCAAGTTAAGCAACGTTTGGGCACGGTCAGTACTTGGTAGGGTGACCACCTGGGAACACCAGGAGCTGTAGGCTATTACATTCAGTACTTTTGTCTGAAGATGGTAACAAAGCTGTTACCGAAAACTAAACACACTATTTATTTGGATTTGGTCTTATTACCTTGTGTTTATAATCTACTAGCCGAATGACCCGGGCAACGCCCGTGTTTTACCCGATTGAATGTTTTGATTCAAATACTATTTGTTACAATTATAAATTGGCGCCTTAAATAAATGCATATTTTAGTTAATAACTATAGCCTATGTGCTTTATCTATGTACTGTTGGCTTCCGTAGGCGTCTCTTACTGGGAAAAAGAAAGAGAGGATTCCATTTGGTTATTAACTAATATATGCATTTATTTAAGGAGTGACCCGCTCCAACACAATAGTTACAAAAACGAAAAAGCGAGTGGGGGGGAGGACATGATGGGGGGGGGGGGCAAAGGTGGCGTGTTCGTACCCAACCAATAGGAGAGCGCCATTCCAAAAAAAAAAGCAAACGGTGACAGACATGAAAAATGAATGACGGATTAAGAACGCATGACGCTTGTAACTGTATATAGAATAATCCAAATTGTGCCTTATCACCAAGAGAGAAGAAATTTATTTAAAGAAAACCTATCGGAGAGACTTAGAAAGTAAGAAATCATTCTGATTTGATAATCATATATTTAAATTATATATTAGAAACACAAGGTAATAAGATCAAATAAATAATGTGTTACCATATTCAGAAATATAGAGCAAAAGTTCATAACTTTTATCTGATAATAGTAATATTATTACCAATAGATAACATACTATTTATTTATTATATAATTTGGTCTTACTTTAAAAAAAAGACAGTTTTAAGCATTAAAGTGGAAATTTTTAATAAGTAGCAACTCTCCAGTAAGAGGACACCTCTCTGTAAAGGATAGTTTGGGTTTGTAACTAGGTGTTGTCCTTTACAGAGAGGGAGTTCTACTGTAGCAACTCTCCAGTAAGAGGACACCTCTCTGTAAAGGATAGTTTGGCTCTGTAACTAGGAGTTGTCCTTTACAGAGATGTAGTTCTACTGTAGCAACTCTCCAGTAAGAGGAAACCTCTCTGTAAAGGATAGTTTGGCTCTGTAACTAGGTGTTGTCCTTTACAGAGAGGTAGTTCTACTGTAGCAACTCTCCAGTAAGAGGACACCTCTCTGTAAAGGATAGTTTGGCTCTGTAACTAGGTGTTGTCCTTTACAAAGATGTAGTTCTACTGTAGCAACTCTCCAGTAAGAGGAAACCTCTCTGTAAAGGATAGTTTGGGTTTGTAACTAGGTGTTGTCCTTTACAAAGATGTAGTTCTACTGTAGCAACTCTCCAGTAAGAGGACACCTCTCTGTGAAGGATAGTTTGGCTCTGTAACTAGGTGTTGTCCTTTACAGAGATGTAGTTCTACTGTAGCAACTCTCCAGTAAGAGGAAACCTCTCTGTAAAGGATAGTTTGGCTCTGTAACTAGGTGTTGTCCTTTACAAAGATGTAGTTCTACTGTAGCAACTCTCCAGTAAGAGGACACCTCTCTGTAAAGGATAGTTTGGGTTTGTAACTAGGTGTTGTCCTTTACAAAGATGTAGTTCTACTGTAGCAACTCTCCAGTAAGAGGACACCTCTCTGTAAAGGATAGTTTGGCTCTGTAACTAGGTGTCCTTTACAGAGATGTAGTTCTACTGTAGCAACTCTCCAGTACGAGGACACCTCTCTGTAAAGGATAGTTTGGCTTTGTAACTAGGTGTTGTCCTTTACAGAGATGTAGTTCTACTGTAGCAACTCTCCAGTAAGAGGACACCTCTCTGTAAAGGATAGTTTGGCTCTGTAACTAGGTGTTGTCCTTTACAAAGATGTAGTTCTACTGTAGCAACTCTCCAGTAAGAGGACACCTCTCTGTAAAGGATAGTTTGGCTCTGTAACTAGGTGTTGTCCTTTACAAAGATGTAGTTCTACTGTAGCAACTCTCCAGTAAGAGGACACCTCTCTGTAAAGGATAGTTTGGCTCTGTAACTAGGTGTCCTTTACAGAGATGTAGTTCTACTGTAGCAACTCTCCAGTACGAGGACACCTCTCTGTAAAGGATAGTTTGGCTTTGTAACTAGGTGTTGTCCTTTACAGAGAGGGAGTTCTACTGTAGCAACTCTCCAGTAAGAGGACACCTCTCTGTAAAGGATAGTTTGGCTTTGTAACTAGGTGTTGTCCTTTACAAAGAGGTTCTATACAATTACAATATTCCTGGAAAATTAAAGGGAAAAAATACCCCAAAAAAAATTGGTATAAGGTTTACCTATTTTTATGAATTTATCCAAGCTGGTTTTTTATTCTATAATCCATACTTTCTATACAGAGATTAACCAAATCATTTGATTCAATTTTAAACAGGGAAATTTGCCTATTTACATATCTCCCTATCCAACATGTTGTTATTAAGGTACATCAAACACAAGGTAATAAGACCAAAAATCCAAATAAATAAATAGTATGTGAGGTTTCGGTAACAACGTTGTTACCATCTTTAGACAAAAGTACCGAATCGACAAAAGTTTTTTTTGTCTGATGATGGTAAAAAACACTGTTATTGGAACCTCATACATTTATTTAGATTTAGTCTTATTACCTTGTGTTTCTCACCGTAAGAATACAAGGCGATCAATCTTTTTCTTGCAAACTTCACAAAGACTATACATACACACATACAAATAAATAAAAAACAATAAACACAAATAAAAAAAATGAAGTAAAAGTTATTTTATTGTTTACACATTGTGTTGAGAAGGATTTTTCCCAACTTTTTTTTTTTCATTTTCACAATTTCTAAAACAAATGTTTTAAAAAAAAAAAAAAAAAATTCGAGGAAATTGTATTCTTTGTTGTGGTGTATTTGTATTATGTGTGTATGTTGTGTAAAATAATGATTGTGGTGTGATATAAAAAAAAAATCAATAATAATAATATGGTTTGAAATAGTACAGGAGTAAAAAAAAAAAAAAAAGGAGGAGATGGGGAGGGTGGGAAGTTGTAGTGGTGAGTCGTGGCCGCAAAAAAAAAAAAAAATTATATATAAACAAACAAAAAAAAAAACACCTTTCAGTATTTTTTCACTCTCTCTGATATAAATATATTAAATTATATTTATATATATATAACAAATATATATTTTATATTATTATTATTATTTCACATTCTCTTTTAAATAATCTTTTTTTTTTCAATTTTTTTTTTTTTGTTTTGCAAAAAAAAAAATTTTAATAATAATAAACAGCAAAGGAGATCAATCTCATTTATAAAATTGAAAGAATAATAAAAAAAAGTTGGTTGGGAATCGGGGGAAAAAAAAAAACATGATAATAATAATTTGAGGAAGTGTGTGAAAAAAATTACAAAAAAAAAAAATACTTCCTCTATTATATATATATTTTTCTTAAATTAATAATAATAATAATATTAAAAAAAGAAATATTTCATACTCTCTATATACTTTTTATGAATTAAAAGAATTTTTTTTAAAATATCTTTTTTTTTTTTACTTGGTAAAAGGTAGAAAGAAAAAAAAAAGATTCGTAATGAATTTAAAGATTAAAAAAAAAGCAAAAAAAAAATTTTTTTAAAGGGAAATATGGTAAAAAAAAAGGAAAAATTATGATAATTTCATCTGTGAATATTAAAAAAAAAAAAAAAAACAATGAAATGATGGGCAAGTGAACAAAATGGAAGAAAAGGGGGGAGATGATGATCAAGAAACAAAACAAAAAAATTCTAAAAAAAAAAAAAAGATAAAATACATTTTTAAAATATAATACAAAAAAAAATCTTTTTACATGTTATAAAAATTATATATTAATAAAAACAGTATATATATATATATATGTGATAATATAGATAAGAAGAGATGTATATATAAGAGGCAATCAGGTGTGTTTAAGAAAAAGGGGAAAAGGTAAAAAGGGGGGCACTTTGTAGAGAATTCAAATATTCCTGGTCAAATTTTAATTTACTTTATTTTCAATGAATATTCCAAAAAAAAAAAAAAATTATGGAAAAAAAAATTAGAAAAAAAATCTGGAAGCTATATATATATATTTATAAAATGTACAATTATGTAATATGATTTTATTTTTTTTCATTTCAATGTTTTGACATTTCTTTTAAAATATCAATATATATATATAAATTTTTTTGAAAGATTTTTCATGTAAGTAGTCATGTATATATATATATATATAATAATAATATTTAACAGCTTTTTATTATTATTCTCTCTCTCTCTTCCCGTATTTCTAAATTACATACATTTGTGATGGCGAAGATATTGAGAGAGGAGAGGGAGGGGGGGAAGAGAAAAAAAAAATTAGAAAAAAAACAAACAATATTTACGGCCATTATGGAGAAGAAGTGTAAAATATATATAAATAATAATTATTACAACGCTACTGAGTCATAATTTTTTTGGTTTATAAATTTTTGTCCCGCTTTTTTTTACATGTTAAAAAGAAAAAAAAGAAGGATTGTATGTATGAATTTCTTAATTATTTTCCTTCTTTGTTTTAAATCCTTTTTTTCAGTTTTTTTAAATATATTCTTCCCCCCTCCTCCATTTTTTTTTTAATATGAAGAGCTACGAAGAAGGAGATTGATTTTTTTTTAAAGGAAGTATCTTACAGCTGTGAGAAATGGTGAGAGGTAAGTGTGACGTGAAGATATAAGGGCGGGCGGGTAGCGAGACAAGACAGTCTCGGCATGGAGGAGGAAGAAGAAAAAATTCTTCTTCAAGAAGGAAGAAGAGGGAGAGAATTTTGGGGGGTTTGTGTGGAGGAAGGGGAGAAGCCAAAAATGTACAATATTTGTTATATCCTTTAAAAAAAAAAAAGGGGGGGGGGGGGGAGGGTGGAAAAAAACCACAAAAACAAAGAGGAAGGTCTGTTATGTACAAGATCTATACAATATATATCTAGAGAAGATATGTTACACAAGGGCTTCCAGCCCGTAGTAAAGCTGCATCAACACCTGCATATGGATGGGT